CTGTAAATTTCGTTACCGTTACCCAAAAAATGTAACTCGTTACCGTTACAGTTACCAAAAAAAGAAAGTAACGCAGTTACCAGTAAAGTTACCAAAAAAGTAACTTGTAACTGTAACTTCGTTACAAGTAACGAGTTACTTCCATTCCCTGTAGATCAATATATATCAATACATCTTACGATAATAATTGTTTTAAAAATGCTGAGACATTGTAAAGTACTTAATTGTAGAAATAAAGGCGGAGGAAATATTATTCTTAATATTTCCTAAGGAAATAATATTCTTAAATATTATTATATCTGTAATATATACATGAAAGTAAAAAGGAGATGAAATAAAAATTAATATTAACTCTGTCAAACAACTTTCTGTATATAGGATTATTTAATTTCTATGCATTCTTTTTATAAAATATTAAAATTTTATGAAAAGTAGTATAAAAAATCGTAAAAAACTTTTATCCCTCTTATATATAACCTTTTCATAAGCACAAAAATATATATACGAGCACATAAGATATGATATTCTGCGCATGCGCGGGCGTTATTCTGCGCATGTGCGAAAAGTTGTATATACTATTGGCAACATTTAAAGGGACAAAGTTAGCAGTCTAGTGTAATATACAGGGAGGGGCATTTAAAACAAGTCACCTGAATAACTCGCTTGTTTTTGACAATTGGGAACTGACATAGGGGCGTGTCCTAATCCAATATGGCGGCTATAACCCCCCAGGTACATAGGAAAATACATTGTGATATATTAAAAACTTCAAATTTATTCGTATGCTAAAACAAGTCCTTCTCACAGGAATTTTATAGAAGGAAAACGTGTGCTTGAAGTAAATCTTATTATTAAAATCGGAAAAAATATTGAAAATGTGAGAAGTGATTGTATCAACTTGACAGCTTTATATTTACAAACTTCTCATTTGAAGCAATCTCCACATGAAATTACCGGATTAATTAATTACAATACATTAATTATGTCTCAACGATCATGTAACACATTTGCAGAAGTTAATGTGTCATATAACCTTTTGCTTTTGATGACTGAATATATTGACTTACCTGGGAATATATAATCCTCCCGTTTAAAATGTAGTGAACACACTCTTGTTTTATGAGTGACATTTCGTATTTTTAAAGCATGCATCCATGCTTTTACTTTGTCGCGTTTTTCTAAGTTTCCAAAAATATTTTTTACGTACACCACATGTTTATTAGCTTTCGGAAAATTATGAAAACGCACTGTTAAATTTTTATTAGAGTTGCTTCGACAATCGTAAACCGAGCAATATTCAAGATGTTTAACTTTAGATCGCGGTGAAAATGTTGCTCCTTCCATTTTCCGAAAATTTAACTTTACTTCAGAAATTAATTATACAGGTCACAGATATACGCACAGTGATGGCAGGGTTTAGAATAATTTTTCTACCACCAGATGTCATGGTGAATATGTCAGTTTCCAATAAAAGAAAAACAAAAGTCAAACAAAAGTTGCTTGGTTTCGAGGGGCACATAATGTGATGTCAATAATTGTTTTTTTGGTGGAGGCGCTAAAAAAATATGAAGGTCACCTCCACCTTTTTAAATGGAATTATGTCATTTTTTTTAGATAACGTGATTCCTCTAATTATTTTGCATATAAAAATATTAAGGTAGAGATACCAAAAAACCAATAGTTTTCGAGATATTTTACACTTTATTTTGATACATATTGACACAAAATGTTAAATAACTCGTAAACTGTTGACTTTTTGATTATCGCACCTTAATACTTTTGTGAACAAAATAATGAGATAAATCAAATGGTGTAAAAAAAACACATAGTTGCGTATTTAAAAAATTATCTATTTTGTATACATATTTTTTTTAAAGATAGAATAAACCATTCTTGAGAATAAAAATAAATTGAAATTCATACATAGTAAAATTGTTTTATTTGATTAGTAGATGTTATGTTAATAAAATTAAAATTAACAATAAACCTCCCAGGTCAAGAATAAATTGAGCAATAATGGTTGTTAAATATATCTATAAATTTATTATAATGATAACATTAATATACGGTACGTTTCGACTTCACAGAGTCCTCATCAGCCGTAAAAAACCCCTTAACAGATGAAACCAATTTCCTCTTAAGACATCCGAAATTACTACGACCACACTATATGTCCTAACTGTGCAGATGGTTACACGTTAGTGACAAAGATTCAATACATATCCAGTCAACCAGACCCCCCCCCCTCCACCCCACCCACATGTTTACATTTCTATCCATCGTCAGAAACACGTTTAAGCAAATGAACATATATGTCATCGAGAGATTCAGTATCCTTTTTCAAATTAATACCATTTAACTGTTCTTTTATATGTAATGTCTCTGATATTAATCTCTTATTATAATTAGATTCGGAGTCCATAATTTTCGTATTCTTCCAGTCAAAGACATGATTGCACTCTAATGCATGGTTTGTTAAAACTGAATGTCTAGATGCATCAAGTTTTCTATTATTTATATATGTTCATTTACTCTAGTACTTAATTTCCTCTTTGTCTGTCCTACATAAGTCACATTACAGTTCTCACATGGAATCTTATATACAACATTATTACTATTACCTTTTTCTTTTTCTAATTGTTTTGATTTATTCTTTAAATATAAAAATACTTCAATGTTGCTTGAATGACTGGTGTCGAACTCTAATCCTAATTTTTTTATATATATCACGAAAAAAGTCCTTATCACTACTGCTACTGCAGATTAATTGTTTACATAGAAATTTCTTACAATACTCTTCTACAATCTTAGATAAATTGAAAGACATTTTTTTAATCTAAGATAAAATAAAGATAATCTATATTCTCAATAATCTAGAAAAAGATAAGATAAAGCCATTTCTTCATCTAGATGATTATCTAGATAATTTTATATAGATAACGGAAAAAACTGTAGGAAGTTCTTTTTCGTGATCACTATTGTACATATATCTATTCGGTGTCACACTATACATTATGTTATGAGACTAATATATTTCACAAAAAATTATCACAAAAAATAAATAAAATATTGTAATAAATTTGTTTTTCAATCGAAGCGTCAAATAATAAAGATCAGGTGTCAAGTAAATCTTAACAAAACGCTCGTGTGTAGATAGAGCGGACTAAACTGAGTTAAAAAGTTACTGAGTATCACATTTTGTGATTTTTGCAATGGTAAACAAGATATTAATTTCTAAAAATTGTCGAATAAGCGAGCAAATTAACGTATAAAACAACTTTAAGATTTCTTTCAGAGTTCTTTATGAAATATATTAAAGAATTTTTAAAAGCGTCTTAAAGTTGTATTATGCCGATGTTAGGAGCATTCTACTTATTGGACACTGTATAACGATAACAAGTAAATATAAATATATTTTTATTAATTAAAAAATTATAATACTTAAAATGGGAGGTATATAACATTTTACAATCTACATCAAAAATACCGAAGATACATACATATATATGTGTGTGTGTGTGTGTGTGTGTGTTTATAATATTAAATAAATTATTTTAATGAGTACCAACAAGAGCATGTATAAATAATATACAAACAGTATACATCTAAATTGAATACTATATATATGTATATATATATATGTTATATATTATTTGATGTTTATTGATTGCTTATTTTTACTATATAATATTATATAATAATTAATTATTATTAAATCTGTATTTTTTCAAAATAATTCATCATAAAATTATGTAATAATGAAATAAAAAATGCTTATTCTGCTTATTCTGTGCTGCCTAAGTACAGAATATTTATGATAAATATATATTTATAATTTATTTTATGAAATATTAAATATTTTATCATATTTACAATAAATATTTATGATTTATGCAATCTAAGACCACAAAAATATGTAAAATAAATCTTATAAATATGTAAATATTTAGTAAATATTTTATAAATATCGTGTGCTACTGGATATTGAATTTCAAATATTGTTTTATTTATTATTTCAGTAATTGTTCAATAAAGATATTATAAAAATTATAAATAATATAAAAGGACGATTATATTACGTGCACAAATAGACAAACAAGATGGTTTCGAGCAACAGCCTCAAAGGTGATTCCCGTACATAAAGGATTAAATCATAATATTGCTGTATCGTTTTAAAACAATATAAGTAGTAAGATGATCCTAAGCATCTCTTTATATTGATATCCAATTATCAATATAGTCATTTTACAAATATGTAAATCATACGTATACGATACATTTAGGTAATAGTGTAATAATAGTGTGTCATCGTAACGTATGTGATATATTTGCCTTACTTACCGGATTCGCGATAACGGTCACTCGATAATATCTCGTGCATGTGCAATTATATTAAAAGAAAGCAGAAAAAAAGGAATATTTGCGTAAGAGTGTATAAGTTCTTCGATAAAAGGAAAGGAAGAAAAGATAGTCCCTGTAGTTAGGCTAAAACTGTTGATCGGAGAATGCCTAAGCAGCGCATGCGCATGTGATTGTGTGTAACATATAACGACATATAGGTCGATAACTTTTTGGATACACGTTTATTCACGTTTCGATGCCCTTATACTTTGATATATCATTTTTTAACAAATTTCTTTTATTCGAATGCATCTATTGCTTTTATTTTCTTGTAATTTTGTTGTATTTCCTATATTAATGTATGTTAGGTGCGCGGTAGTGGGAGAACCGGCAACGTTGCCAGAGTCGCTTTTTAGCTTGCGATGTTGCAGTTATTCGATAGTCAGCATCAGAAGTGCAGTCCGTTTCTGGCATATTTACCGTAAATATAACCTGTTTCCACGTGTCAAAAAATTAATACTCCACTGTTCCAGAGCTTTCTACACGATAATATAACGTAAGTTCATCAATTATTATCTTGATAATATTCTGATGTAGAGCTAAAATCCCCTGGATTTACGACAAACAATCGTTGCGAGATCCGAAACGTTATGCGGATGAAACGTTTCATCAAAGTTTTGTCTCCATTTATATTTCAAACTACTTTATTTATCTTAATCCCGTTAAATTTTAAGACGTTTGAGAGATAGAAAGTATGTATTTTAAGGCTTATAACTTTATATAATTTTTTAAAATAAATTAACCATGGATTGGCTGAAGCATATAACTTATGGTGCAAAAATCCATGCATTGTCAAATATGACAAATGGGCCTTAAGGCCCAATCTAGAATACATAGAAACATTTGCTGTTGCTATAGAGACGCTTTGATATAGCAAGGGCACCATTTTAAATAACCTCGTATACGCCATTTTGTTGTTGTTTCTTCTAGGATATATACTGAATTATTTTATTAATTTGAGGTTATAATAGAACTTTTTATTGTGCCAGAAGTATGATTTATTTGTTGTATATGGTACTAGCTGTAGTGTTACATAAATCAATAATATACGGATATATAATATTTTCATGAAATTTAATAAATATTTATCGAAATTTTTTTTTTAATCTTAAATATTATATGGAGATGTACAAATAATACATTCTGTATATGACCTTCAATGACCTCTTTTTCTACGAGTTTATTGTTTATCAGTAATACATAATCAAAATATTATATTGTGATCGATTAAAATACGCGTAATTTTAAGGTTTTAAATGTTTTTTATTTAATCTGTATATAATTTTTATTGAAATTTTTCGATGTGTGTGTGTGTGTGTGTGTGTGTGATCTGTTATTATAATTGCATTCATATAAAAATATGAAGGTTACAAACGCACAATATATATTTTTCGGGTTATTATAGTCTTATATTTGTATATTAAATATTATATTCAAATAGAAAAAGTTTCGTATCATTTGAGACTATTCAGAATAAATTTGACATTTTACTAGTTTTTTTTTTATAAGTATTTAGTAATAATAAATATTTTTGTATCTATTATCTATAGTGTATCTCATGTTAGATCAAAAACTAATAATGTATTTGATTATATAATTAATTAGCGTAGGATTTTATCTTTTTAACAGATTTTACAATTATAAAATATTATAAATTTAAAGATAATTTCACATATTTTAATATTGTTGCGATATAGATGATAAAGCGACATATGTAGTAGCAGTGAGTAGCAGTATGGTCAGATGCCAAATCTGAACCAATCTGAACCGCGGCGCTGCCCTAGCATCAAATGGGTGGAGGGGATACGTACAAAGAAAGAGCTACGTAACATATGGCACATATACGTGATTCTTTTTTAAGGTCATCATACGTATAAAAATTTAATCGTAATCGTTAGGCCGTAAACAATTCAACTAATTATGATTAAAATTATGGTCTACGTTTTAAACGTTCGACTATGATTAATCAATATGCTTACGACTTTACAGTTACAATTAAAATTTTTTTACGTGTAATAACCTTTAGTTTATGTATGTCCCTCCACCGATTGGGTGTGAAATAATGATTTAGATCTGGCATCTCTACATAGTAGTCAAGTAGTCTAGTGTTTGTCGTAAAGATAAAAGAGATGGCGCTGCTTGTTCCAAGTTGTCCCCTTTCTAGAGAATACTGCGCATAAAATAAATCTCAAAAATGTAAAATATAAAATATGCATATAAATATATAAAATACACACACACACACATATATATATGTATTTATATTGAACTTGTACTGTAATAGAATTGTTTGAATGATTTACAAAATTTTCGCTTGTGGTTTTTTATGCTGTAATAAAGCAAATTGTTATTGTCATAGTTAATATGAAACATTCGATAATATTTTTATCTTATTTCAAAATTTAATAATAGGAAAAAGGGCTATAAGTCACAAATTCGTTATTAACTAATATATTATACATAGTCCCTCCAAAACGTATATTAGTTAATAAACATATATTAGTTAATAACGAATTTGTGGCTCGTAGTCCTTTTTCCTATTATTATTAAATTTATTGAGCCTTATTATAAACATATTTCAAAATTTAATGTTATATTGTTTATATTATGTTCACAAATTTGTCGAAAGACACTGTGTAGCGAATTCTTGTTCGTACGTAATTATACAAAAAGAGAGATTTTTTTATTATCTGTCTTTTGAATAATGTTAAATTTACAAGGAATTTAGTGCTTAATGATAAGAGTTGAGGTTATGTTGAGTCTGTCTGTGAATCGTGTGTCATCGTGTTAGTGTAAGTTAATTTATTTTTCATATTATATTACGTATCTTATTTTATTATGTTACATATTGTATAGACATCATATTCATTGCACATGAGAGAAATTCGCATTTTGAACTTAGTTACGCATTCTTAAACTCATCGGAAAAAAGTGTTGCAACCTTATTGCTGAGTGTATACAATTTTGATCAGCAATTAACTCTTCAAAAAACGATTTTCAAGATTAAATTTTATGACTTTTTTATTAGTAAAACATTAATAACAGAAATGTAAAATTTTGAATACATATTTATTTATGTTTAAAATAGATGTATGAATTTTTGAAAATTTCTGAAAATATTTTGCCATGAAATTTTGCTTAGCTTATTTTCTTATCAAGGTACAAAAACTGCTAAAAAAGAACCAGATTTTTCGATTTTGTTCAAGGATCAGCAAAAGATATGGTAGAGATATCTATTAGAAATTTCTATTCCATCAAATTATAGTTAAAATTTTAAGAAAATTTATAATATAACTGCGATATTTCTATTTGTAATCGAAAAAATTGCTTGCAAAATTTGCTAAAGACAAAATTGACATAATTTTACTCATCCCAAAAAAACCCAGAAAGTCTTTTTGGATTTTACTCGCTTAAAACAATCTGAAATTTATGTGATTTTGATTGGAATTTTATTGAAGATCATTATCAAACACCAAATTTTTTTTTTAATAAAAATTTGTTTAAGTTTTAAATTATCCAAATGTTAATATAGTTGTACTATTTTGCGACTGATAGTCCCCACCACATATTTACAATATGTAGTAGCATTGTTTCTTTCTTTATCTTTACTACAGAAGTTTTTTTTTTTATATTCGAAAAATTCGTCATTATAATATCATAAAATTTTTACAAAATTCTTTTATGATTGTTTTTATTTGATTATGTAATTAAATAACATAGATAATGATAAATACAACGTAAACTAAGTATTACGTGAAAAATATCAAATAATCAATTTTATCAAAAAAATCCAAAAAAAAACCCTAATAAATCCTAGTGGGCTGAGCCTTTTTTAAAAAAAACTTGGGTTAAACGAGCTAATTGGGTTAAACATGGGTTAAAGCTAAAAACAATTTTTTGGAAAAACAAGTGCGAAATAGAATGTCTTATTCAATTCGCTCTGTAGCTCAGACCTGTCTAATTTAAGCTTCAGAGCCAAAACGCATGGACATGGACACAAAGAAATTCAATAAGGTTTCAGAGACTGTAAAGTATTGATAAGTGTTCAGGACTCAGGACAGCTACACCTAAGATATATATTTATCTTCTGATCCCTGAAAACAGAGACAGTCTCAGTCATGGTCGCTTCTGGTTGGATGATGATGAACGATATTAGTTAGACTAGGTGGCGTACGTGTAAGTAGATACGACTGCAATAGCTGCGATTTTTAGATTGTGTGATTAATTAGAGAATAGTCAATTAGTGAGTAGATAAAGCGATTTTTTTAGAGAATATTGAAAACTTATCTAGAGTAAGTGAAGGAGGGATTGAACGTAAAGCGAAAGACGAGGTATCCGAAGATAAAAGGTAAGAGAAAAAGAGAGGTTAGAATGCCAAAAGATGCGGAAAGAATAGATAAGAAAGTGGGGTAAAGGGAAGATAGGCAAAAGAAATTAATTTTTGAGGAGAAGGATAATGGAAAAATATTATTATTAGGTGCTAGTAAGACTGAGAGAAGGTGGCAGAAAGATAGGAGAGAAAGAAAAATTTATGAACAGTTAAAAAGAATTTTAAAATCATGTGTAAGGAAGAAAAGATAATGGTGAATTTTAAAGTTGAGAAAAGGCGACTGGAGGAAAAAATTAAAATGTGAGAGAGAGAAAGAGAAGAGAGAGACACAGAACTGGTATAAGGCTAAACAGAAGAAAATAAACAGAAAATATGAGGACAGATTAGGAAGTTTAGATTTAGAAAAAATATACAGGGAAAAATTAGAAAAAATGTAAACAGAATCTCCAATCATCATGATATTAAGAAAGGTGAACCATTCCGAATTCCGACGGATGCGCAGGGAGTTGAAAGTGGTGGGGATTATCAGTCGCAAAATAGTACAGCCTCTGATTGGTCAAAATTATGCCATTATGCGCCATGATTGACCTTACACCGTGTTCAATCATGACAATATATATGCAATAAATTTCAATTTCTTCTACATTCCACGACGATGATGAAAAAGATAAAGTTTTACATAATCAGATTTTGCGCCATAATATCTCCGCTCGTAGAAAAATAATAAAAACACTTATTATATATTTTGGGCGGAATTTGTCGATTGAGCCTATTTTCAGAATCGATTTTGATTATTGAGATCCAATAATCGTACTAGAAAACTCAATGGCTTGCGTAAAGATACACACAACCTTTGATTTAATCGGCCGATGAAGTTAATCGGAGTTGATGAAACCAAATCTTAAGCCGTGATCAGATTATGCATTGGAGATTGAAATTGAGATTGAAGACTGAAGCTTGACCAATAAGAACAGAGTCAAAATTGAGGCCCAAAATTGAGGTTGTAGATTAAAATTTAGAATTCCGTCTTTTTGTTCAATCTTCAATTTTAATCTCAATCAATAAGCTTCCACTATTTCAGTCACGTGACTAACCTCATGAATATACTTCTTTCGTTCAGCTTCTCAGCGATTATTAAAAAGAGTAAAGAAACAATTATCTTCTTCTTCTTCTTCATATCTAAACGCACATTATTTATTAACTGCAGCATTGTTTAACTTAATCTTTATCTTTTATATTTATCTATTATCTCTTTCGATCAATAATGCTACACACAAAAATAGCACAATTGAAATGTGTGAGTGCAATTAAATGCGTATTCAATAATTTTGATTATGTTGTGATTCTAGCTATGTAGTGATCCCGACATTGTCACTAATCTCAATCTTAACTGCTGTTGAATACAATCCATAGTGGTTGAGCAATCTTCAATCTTAAACTTAATTTTAATCTCAATCTCAATCTCCAATGCATAGTCTGATCACGGCTTTAGGTCGCTTCGATCGAATTCCGTATTTTAATCGATGGTTAGTTGAGCTATTGAAATTGAACAATCGCATTTGTCATTTCATTTAACGACAAGTGCGATTGGTCAGTTTCAATGGACTAATCATCCATCAAAGTTAATCGGAGTTGGTCACAATGGCTCTTAATTGCAAAATGTAGCAAAAATTCAGCAAAAGATTATTTTTGATTAATAGATTAACATAATAAAATGTATTAATTTATATTTTTAAGTTAGCGAAATAAATATAAATGACGCATTTGAAGTTAACGGATATTATCTGATACTGTAGTATCAGTGCACCCTTTGCCCGGATGAAGTGAACAGCATGGCATAGTTCACGAAACGTTGGCTTTAAAAATGAACGGCAACACGGCAATAATCCGCAAATCTTCTAGTATAATAAATATAAACATTTATGATATATGAACATATTTTTAAACTTTATTACATCTAATTTACATCAAAGTCACTTTAGTATTCTGAATTTTTATGCCAGAAATTAAGTTGATAGTAAATCATAGTAGTAAATTCTTTAATAGCGATCTTCTCGCAAGTTTTAAATTTTTTGCTAATTAGTCGCAAATTTGGATTAAAATTTTTCATTAGGGCCCCGAACTCTACAACATATATCCAAAACTTGTAAATCTTTTAACAATTGTTGGTATTACCTTCTAAATTCTGCTAGATTGACTGGACTATAATATGCAGCATATAATGTGTAACACGTGATGTTGACAGACTTGGCTATCTGGGCTATGATCTACTGAAAAAAAGATATAGATATTAGGCTCAATAATTACGTTTACACGGCCAATTTACGCCGAAGTTATAACAGCTAATGTTATAATTACTGACATTAGATGCCGTGTAAACACTTAAAGTCGTTTGGTGAAAATCATCGACATACAAAAAACGTGTAAACAGCTGCGATATTAACTTTGGTGTAAATCGGGCTGCGTAAATGTAATTTAAAAATTCACTTTGCTTGTTGACTTATTTCTTTCAGCTTGACAGAAATAAGATAAGCCTGAACATGTAAACACGGCTAACTTGTAGAGGATGGGAAACCGATATATCGGCTTTTAATGATTCAAGTGAATTTAATGTGATCAGTGTTTGTTATTTTATTTTATCGTTTGAAAAACACAAGGTTGGCAACGTTACTTCATAAAAATAATTGGTTACCGTTATACCGTTCTTTTTCCTAAAAAAATGGGGAGTTTTTGCAATACTGTTTATCCCAGATACGGTGAACGTTAAAGTCACGTTATCTTTTTCTTCACACCTAATTAAGAAAAAGATAACATGATTTTAGCGTTCTCCGTATCTGGGATAAACGGTACTGCAAAAACTCCCTAGAGTTCTGAAGAATCACCCGACCGGTGCGGACGCGTTTCGGATCGGGTGCTTTTTTGTATATTTTTGAAAGTGTTGCCGACTTTAACTGTGCGTTGACACCCACATCGATGTCCGTGGGTGGCTCGACTCGGTCGTCCGTCCTGACGCGCGTTAATGACGACGTCGTAGACGCAGGCGCCCGGTGTTCGTTCGGGCCACGCCATTTTCGCGGGCATTACATCACCCTCTTTGTTTTCACAATTCGTTTTGTATACGTATTATATTTTTTGATATAATACGTATACAAAACGACTGGCCACGAAAATCCGTTTACTACGGAACCTGGGCCATCCAAATTTAAAAGAAGAAGAAGAAGCAAAAACTCCCTACTAACTCGTTCCCGTTACTCGTTATTGATTTGCAAAACTAAATCGTTACCGTCATCGTTACTCAAAATATAACAAATCGTTACTTTTTTCTTGAAATTAATTTAATATTATGTGCAGATTTTTTTGATAAATATAAAAAAAGATATCAAAATTTTATTTTTTAGTAGAGAAATAGAGCTTAAAAACGTGTATTTGTATATGTGTGTTTGTGTGTGTGTGTGTATATATATAGGTATATATAATTATTAATTATATACATACAATATATAATATTATATATATTCATATTTATTAGGTAGAATCTCACGTTATCTCGCTGGTCTCATCACTACAGTCTACATGCTATACGTTAACCCCGTTAACCTAAAGGTGCGTTCCGTTTCACGCTTAGTGCGTATGATACATCACCACTTTATTCTTGTTGTCCACCGAATATTAAAGAAAGATAAAATAATACCTCATGTGCATAATGCGTAAAACGGAACGCAGCCTGTACGTGTAAACTGTGAATACAATGTATTCCTTTAACGTCGCATCTGTTTTTCTATAGCTCTAGTTACGACTAAAACTTTTACGTGGCTAAAAATAAAGTAACGATAAAAGTAACTAATGAAATCGTTACCATTACCCCAAAAAAGTAGCCATAAACTACGTTACCATAAACGTTACGCCGAAAATGTAACGTCGTTAGTGTCGTTACCTGTTCGTTACCGAAAAAAGTAACTTGTAACGGTAACGACGTTACATATAACGCGTTACTTGCCAACCCTGGAAAAAAAGTTAAGATATGTGATGTTCAAAAATGAATGAGGAATGGTGGAAGAGATAAGAAAGAAACTGTATGGTCTGTTTTTTTTTACCTCAAGTTATAAACTGTAGGCCTATTCTAATTCTTAATGTAACTTTCGTTATCGTTAAGAGTTACAGAGTTTATGCTTGCTGGTGTATATACTGATATAATATATTAGAGTGAGATAGGTAGTTTGTTTTATTTGAACTTATTGAACCATTTCAGAATTCTTTAAAAAAGAATTTTTTGTTTCATGGACAAATTCGCGTCATTTGTTTCAACATGACGATCTAAGGTGCGTTCGGGAAGACGTTATTAGCGTTTTTTGTACCATTCTATCTTCATCGTTTATCATACGTAAAACAAGAATGACACAAATAACGCTAATAGCGTCTCTTCGAACATTCCACTTGCCTATCACAGGAAAACGAGTACATCAGTTAACTAATCATCTCTTTCCTTCTAAATTACTCAAAAGACCATATATAGGGTGTTTAAAACATTCTATTCGTAAAAGGACCTTATTTATTTGTCGTGAGTGTGACAAATATCTTTGCGCTGTACCGTGTTTCAAAGTTTATAAGAATTTTTGAACTTTATACTAAAAAACATATTATTTTTATTATTTAATAAAGATATAATATGTATATAATTTATATTTTTCTTATCCATTTTGGAAATCTATATAATATACTTTTATTTCATATTCTACACCATTATGGAATTATGAAAATAATTCTGTATAATTAAAGTATTTCAACAACAGAGTTTTAACTCTGAAAATGATAGGATTGAACATGATACACTTTCAAGGATTTTCAAAACATATTAAAGCTTTGCTAGTTGTACACTAAAGAGTGCAAGTTTTATATCTATTTGATACATGGCTTAAGAATTATCCATTATTGAATCTGATGTCTATGACATATTTTGTTCATTAGATATAAGCTACACATCATACGTGACAATCATCAACTCATTTTACCAGGATCCAGTTATAAGATGTTTTACCTTGGAAATCGTTTTCTAGATCAGAATCCCTGCTTGGAGGAATAAGAGTGAATTAATTTCTCAAGATCAAAACTATACAATCTATATAATGACCAGGTATTGGCTCTAAGATCGAAGCAAACCGACCAAAATCGATCGTCCTACAATGCAGTGAAGAGTCACATATCATTTCCCCCACCATGAACTCTGCCATTGGTGCGCCGAGCAAAAGAGAAGGGTTCTATTCATCAACCGTTCAATAAAACGAATCCGCGACGAAGATTCTATATGCAAATGGTTAAAAGATTTCATACGAATGTTGGACATCGTCAAGGAGGTGATTATAAATTGGGCCCAATATACTTAACTAATTAAGATTATGGAATTGTATAATAGTAATTATGTAAATATATGCTACTCGTGGCCAAGTGATAAAATCGATAAGACATTTGTATGCACATGTTCGAATATAAATAAGAATTTATTATATGATATATGAAAAGGAAAAATTCGAATAGAATAAAATAGTGTAAATGCAGCTGTTAGAAACGAGAAAGATGTTTTTGGATTTGGTGCCAGTAGCAAAAAAGAGATCTAATTTAGAATTACGAATTGATATATATGTTTTTGCAGCTGTTCTAAACAAACGTAAATGAAGCAGCAAAATTTTTTGAAAAATAAATGCCGATATATATGTGCGTTAAAATAAAGATTTCCTTATTGCGCAGCGAATCGGTATACGTCACAAGCCTAGTTCTGCCCGTATTTTTCGACGCTTCGTGTACACTCGGCAATCTTCGGAACAGAAACTCGGGGCCTAAGTGCAGTGTACTTCACGCTCGATGCGCAGATCTGTCGATGACGTTGAAGCTAGTTCGCGCGGTTTCTTTAACTCGCGTTTGATAATACGAACGAAGCGATGCTGAGAGCAGAGATAACGACATCAGCTCATTCGCAACGTTCCGCAAACCTGTTCTGTTCTCCAAGTGTCACTGTACGCTTCGTGGCGTCTCGTTTGTGCTGAACGAACGTCACTAATAAAGCGTACCTACTCTCTTTGTAACCACAGCTCCTCTGTGCGTTCTCGACTCTTCAACGCAAAACAAGTCTGCTTTATTTAAGGGGCATGATCTTTTTAAGGTGACGCACACCTTAAAGTGATTTTACACAGCAAGTGCGTTTCCGTCTGAGATTGCATGACTCGCTGTAATAGTTCTCACTTGAATTTAAAAAAAAATAAAGAAATGCTGAACTACAAACGCAAAATCACGCCGAGGATCACGGAGAATAAAAGCCATTCTTTCATCAAATGTACGCTTTTCACGTTTGTTGAGGGAACACGCTGTATAACTTTCAGTGAGAGATACTTGTCCTCAGTCCGCCATCTTTCATCTCAATAAGGTCAGGGCCCTTGGCCCTCTAGGCAGGGGCCTGACTGTATACCGTTCAATGTTCCTGAACAATTTCGTGATAATTTGTACACACATTCGATTTATGCCTTTTATCAGGACATGTCAAATTCATGCGCCAGTCGTTATGGTCAGCAAAATAGTGTGATTCGTGTACGATGGGCATCGATCCAGAATAAAGCGCGCTTGCGCGCGCGCGTGCATGCATGGTACAGTAAACGTCAGAATGTTTTCGTTCAGTGGGTAACCTCTACGCACCGATTGCTCAATCAAACATAACCGAGTTATACCGAAACAGATAAATTCTGTTTGGGCCCGAAAAAAGAGACATACGTCCTTGTAAAAGACGGAAAATGAGTTAAACGTATCATATGTATGGAAAATAGATGGAGGGGAAAGGAAAGAAAAGGGAGAGAATACTTCGAACATAAGTCATTTCGACATGTAGTTTTATCTTCGTAGTTAATTTTTTTAGGATCAATACATTCCAAAACGTCCTTTTCTCTCTGAGAAAAATTTTACTCGAAAATATACGTAACATATATCGTAGTATATATTGAGTAAAATCTTCCTCGGAAAAGACGTTTTGGAATGTGATTGACCTTAAACAATGTTAAGTGAAAGGTTCTTTTCTTTAGTTTCGAGTAAAAAAAATTCATTCTGTGAATTTATACCGACGAAAAAATATTCGTCTCTGTATTCTCACTTGTTTAATCCTAAAGATATTGCAATGGATGCTTTTCATTTATACTCGTTTCTACCAATATAGATTAACTTTAATTTCGGTTCAATTTACTTTTCATCACTTTTTAATTCTTAAAACTAGAAAAAGATGAAGAATTAGTTAAGCCAAGATTAAAATTGAACTACATTGATAGAAACGAACATTAGTGTCACGAGTTAACACAATCATCGTTCTATCTTTTTCAACGGTCAAAGAGTAATATCGACTGCGTCACCAAATGAAATCCAGCGTCGTTCAAAACTGCGTATCGATCATGTAACATTTTCTCTAGAATGCAAAAGTGAACATTTTTATGTATGTATGTACATGTAGAGGAGTGATAGTGAAGAAAGTAACTTTAATGATTTTGAGAGATAAAAGGTTTTCTCGGCACTTGCTTCAGTAGACTGTACTTCAAGTCGATAGGTTTAAAAAAAAAAAGTGATTTACTGCATTATCGGTTTTTGACTACTTTATGTATACATATACATACAAAAAATTTTCACTTAACGTTTTCGCCCTGAGCTATGTTCTTACCCGAGTACTACCCAAGACATCCTTGTTGTTTACTGAATGTTAAACAAGGATGATATGACATCCAGGGAAGTATCCACCCGGGTAGGGATCTGGACACGCCCCTGGGGAAAAAGTTACACGAGGCGCTTTCCATTTGGTGACAAATCGATACGAGCATTATTATATCTTTCATAACATTCAATGAGTAATAAAGATAAAATAACATTCATGTCAATTTGTGTCACCAACTTGTTTATTTAATGTTAAACAAAAATAAGACGATACACGGAGGTACTCGGGTGATACTTCCGAACGCAGCCTAAATGGAAAGCACCTCTGGTTAACCTCCTGCTCGGTTTCTGTTGTCAGTCTGTCATCTGATTGCGCCGCGCCCGCGCGCGCAGATACTGCTCGGTTTCTGTTGCCAATCCGATTATGTGAACAGGTTCTGTTGACAAAATAGAAGGAGAGTTAGCAGGCTATAGTTGATGTCAATCTACTGAAATTTCTGATCAAAGCCAATCTGCCGATATTCGATTAACTTTTTGCTTACTGTGTACATAAAAATTTTCATTTTCCACGTTTCTGCTTTAGAGAAAAAGCTACATGATCGATATCCAGAATTATCTGTCGCGTTCCCCTTCTCATTCCTGTCTATTTTTACAGTACCTATTAATTTATTATGTTTGGTTTTGGTATAGAAACAATTTTATAGAGAGGTTATTTAAGAGACGCAAACAACGACCTCAGCTATAATGATGCCGACTCTATAAGTCCAAATACTTTTTTCGTTGACTATACTTTCGCGAACAGAGTTGATGACGCGGCATCACTGTCAGATGTTATGTATATATACGCAAAATTGGCGCTGTCAATTGGGATATGTGAAATGAAACGTGTTGTCCCGTATAATTTTTATTTTAGGAATATTAAATATGATTTTGAAATATATTTTCTAAAGGAGTTCTTTAACAAATATTTTTAATGTAAATAATTTATCAGACATAAAAAAATATATAATTTATGATATAATATTAAAGAAAAAATTATGCTATTGTCAATATTATACATCATAAATGTTATTAGCAGCATGAAAGAACCAAATTTAGACGAATATGGATAAATGCGTTGTTTCATGATTGTAAAAATTTTGTGATAATAAAGATTTATAAATTATATGTTTAGTGGAGTACCAATTTTTTCGTTAATTTTCTAAAGTACCTTTGATTTAATAGTAATTGAGTTAACAGTATCTCTGACAATACATTATGTATGTATACTGTATACATGGATATGTTGATACAGTGATACATGCCATAAGTACAGATATATGTTAAGTACATTAAATAAAATTATACTATATTATACATACATTTCTTATGTAGTTTTCTATTTAATTATAGATTGAAAGTATTTAATAGTGAAGATAAACAGTAACATTTTACTGTCTTCAATTTTATAATGGAGGAGACACAAACTGGAATAGTGGACAAATCAGAATCTAGTTCTACAGTCTCAAGTGTCAATAAAATTGATATTGATGAGCTGACAAAGGAAAAGGAAGAAGAATTATTATATGGTGTAGAAGAAGGAGACGATGAAGATACACTGTCTGATGATAGTCTACGCTTAAGATTATCTGACGATGAGGAAATTGAACAAGATACTATAGTAAACGACACAAATATAGCAAAATTAAAATCGCAGAGTAGAACAAGTGGTACGTAACTATTTGTTATTTGTGAAAATTAGATTGATACATATTATATTATTACTAAATAATTTCTGCATGGTACCTTGATATATTTTTCCATTGTATTTTAATGGAGTTATACTTAAAATAATTTTCAAATCTCAAAATATTTGTAAAGTGTTAAATCTAGAAATATTAAATATAAGTGCCAGAGAAAGAGAGAGAGAGAGAGAGAGAGAGAGAGAGGGGAGGGGAAGGAAAAAAAGTAGTTATGCTTTTTAAACTATGATTAAATAAAACAGAATTTTTTTTATTTCTTAAAATGACTGCATTTGTTCGCATCTATATTAATATTTTGGTTTCAGAACAACAAATTTTAGGTACAATCGTAGAAGAGACATCTTCCGATGTACAGCAGACTGTGAAGAAAGTTTCTAAGCCTGATATTGATGAAAAACCAACGCAGGAAATACATAACACAGGTAATGTCTTTATGAAAGGCAACGTTATAAATAATTATCAAATCAAGTTTTCATAAAAAGAATATTAGTGCAAGTTTTTAAATTTAATTTGTGTAGTCACTTTTTATATTGTTCCTTATTTTAAAGGCATTGAAAGTAGAAAGGGAAATCAATTATGTTATCAAAATCTGTTGCAGAAATCAAGATTCCAGAAAAATCAGCATTAGGTGAATATGCATCTGAAAATGAACCAATACAAGATAATACACATAATTTGGAAAATACCAGAACGACTGTTAGTAAATCTAGTGAAAAGTGTATGTTTACATCTAGCAAAAACTTAAAAATAACGGATGTAAAGAATGAGTATTTAAGTACGGAATCTGAACAACATATAACAATATCATTAAAAAATGATAATTTATCTGTAATAAATAATCATATACAAACAGGTAATCATCGAAACGCGGGCCTAACAACTCATAATGAAGAAAATCTAAAAGAAACAGCCAGTGATGGTAAAGAAATAATTGCAAAAAATACCTGTGAACCAAATAAATTAGACAATGTAGACAATAATAGATCTGCAGATTCTGCTAATATTAAGATCTATACTGATGAAAAATTGTCTACGATTACAACTATTTCTAACAGTAATGATGATAATTTAAAAGATGAAATACTAGAAAAACCTATTACAAATGATAATTATTCATTGAAATGTTCATATGCCGAATCTAATGTTACTTCAGATTGTGTGGATTTAGTAAAAACTGAAAATTCTAATGATAATAATAACTCATCATCTCATAAAGACATTATTGCACATAAAAGCAAAAATAACAATTTACAACCTGTGGATATAACAGAAAGCAAAAATGCATCAAATATATCAAGAATCATAGATAAGGTGATGAATATTTCGTTGATACAAAATCAAAATAATTTATCCAATATTAAAGATAATGCAGAAGTAACGAACAAAGACCGTGATACTAATAATAAATCTGTAAACGAAACTGTAAATAATTTATTAGAACAAACTGTTTTATTAACACGTAACGATGTGAATAATTCTGATAACGATAATGGAATTAAAAACGTTAATACTGTTATTATTCCAAGAAGAAAACGAATTAAAAAAACAGTTGATAGAACACAAGATCATGCCGAGGAAATACAAGGTAGGAAATATTTAATAAAAAACAGAATGGTATTTCATCAATTTCTGTAAAACTAAAAAAAAAGGAAACATTAAACACAAAGCAATCTGATAACAATCTTAACAGTTTTGCGCAATTAAATGCAGTTACTTTATGGTTTCTAAGTGAACTTATGGATGATTTGTAGACGCAATTTTTGGTTGGACGCAAAAATTATTCAGGATATATTATGCACAAAATATTCTGATATTTATACCTAGTCATTTTAATATAAAATATGTGATAAATATATTATATTTGAGAGAAAAAAGATATTAGAGATAATATTTTAAAATTATTTAATTATGTCAATTATCAATTATAAAAAGTATATATATATATATATATTCTAAAATAAATAATTTTTCTGTACATATTCTGTGTGTTTTGTTGTCGTTCATAAAATATCTTATTATGAGTTATTCGTCATGTTGTTATATATTATTCTTGCTATCTAATTTTTAATATGTTGAGATATTTTTATTACAGAGGAAAAGGAGAGTGAAAAGCGGAAGACTACAGAAGAGATAATCAGGAAAAAATATCTTAATAGCGACAGCGATTCCAACGATAATACGGATCACTCCATAATAGCAAATAATAAATTCAATCCGGATATACCTGTGCCACCTTTAATAGCGATAAAACGTAATTGTCCAGAAAGCGAGATTTTTAATGGTGCTAAAAAAGCGAAAATGAATATCAATTCTGAGGAAAAGAAGGATGTCTCACAATTAGCTTTCGTTGAGAAATTTTTCCGGAGGGATATTAAAGAAAAATTACCAAAACTTACACAGGAAGTAATAAAATATTCACATTAGAATAAAATATTTTTAATGATTTATTATATCTACGAAAAATCTTAATTACGAATTAATATTAATTACGAAAATTAAAACTTACTAAATATTACTTTTATGATTAATGTTACTTTAATGCTTAAGGAACTGGAAGAACTCTTGATTCAAAAGATCGTCGAAACGATTACGATGCGTAGTGAAATTGGACAGCTTAGAGAACAAGCACGCATATCAGAAAGGTATCAGGAAATAACACGTATAAAGATGGAACAATTAAAGAAGCAAATAAAGGATTTTGAGTTGGTTCTGGAACGTAATGAGAAAGACCGTCGTGCAAATCCCGATAAGTCTGTCGCCCCTATAAAGATAAACAGATCCGTAGGCTTGCAAGTCAGCTTCATAACGGTATTTATTTATTACAGAGATATACTTTAATGTTAGATTTCCACGGTATTTCCTTAAAATAATGTTAATCGCGATTAAATGCTCTATTTGAGTAGGAACATGGAATACAGAACTTACGGCAGACTGCAAATCTTAAATCTGCAATAAACATCGTAAATAACAATAATTCTTCACCTTCTATTGAGACAAATAATATTGTAACAAGCCCAAGACGTGGTGGAATCAAAGTAAGATCACCCCGGCCTGTAGTGACAATGCCTGCTCCTGTAATGACACAGAGTTCAGCCCAAACAGCGCCTCTTATTTCAACCGTGACACCCGCGGCTTTAGTTGTTGCTAAACCCTTGGAACCCCAACAATCTTTAACGTTGTCTAACCAGCCTGCAAATATGAAACCAATCTTAACTCCTGTAAGTAATATAAAACTTATTTTAATTATTAACATTTATCAGTTAACACAAATCATAACATTTATAAATTATAATTTTTAATTATTAATTAATACAAACTTGCAGCCGCAACAGCAAATTCAATCGCAGCCGCAGCCACAGCCGCAGCCGCAGTCACAGCAAACTATTGTCATAAATGGCAAAATAAGTCAAATAAATAATCGTCCTATAGCTCCGAAGCTAAAAAATAACGATCTTATCGACCTTACGGATGAAGAAGAAAAGAATAAATTATATACTAAATCTATATATATATATACCAAATATTTTCACACACAAATGGTACACACTTTATGACCATGATCGATCTCCTTCACGATAATCAACATCTATAATGATCGCTTTCTAATATATTATCTATCATGTAGAATCTTATATTACAGCAAATGCAAAAGCTACGACTGTAGCTACAACTCCTATAATTGAGCAACCATTGAATGCAACACCGAAATCTACGCAATCATTTCAAAGGGTATTACAAACAATACCGGCAAATGTAGCAATTACAACACAACCGATAAAAGTGATAACAACTAGCCAACAGCCAGCACAAACTGCCTTTGTTGTAAGCATTTCTCATATTTATTTTTATTACATGTCAGGATGTTTATTATCTAAAAAAAACTTGAATTTTTTCGAGGGATTTCTTTTTTACTCTCAAAAATAGAATAAAAGGAACAGATTTTTTTGTTACTTCAGTAAAAAATATAAAATGGATTTCTTATGGTAAAACATTGGGGGGGGGGGGGG